TCCATGGCTTTGCTAGGTGATTTGGTGCAAAATATTTCCATCTTTTCTCCTAGATAACCCTGTATATCTTTCAGGATTTAACTGTGGTGTCCTCCGGCCATCTTTCCTTCATCCCTTCTTCTTATCCAGGACTAACATAATGCCCTTCCTCCATATTCTTAAATCCCCCTGCATAATATTAAAATTGTGACTTTCCTATCTGTCTGGTTTACTATGCTGTGAAAACCCTGTTTACTCTTGAATCCTGCACACAGTTCCCAGTGCATTGGACATGCTCAGTAGGTAGCTGCTGAACTAATTGGAATCTATTCTTGGACTCCCTTGTGTATCCAAGTTTATTCCAAAGTGACCCCCAAGTTTCTACAAGTCTAAGAAGAATGTTTCTTCACATACAACTCACACGAAGGAGGCATTGATAGGCACTATTATGAAAGCAAATTCTGATTTGTGTTGCAGTGGTCGCTTTCCACCTTCTCACTGCTATCTGAGAGAGTCATAGACACTCAACTCATTAAAGCTGTAACATGCAATTTGCAATGGGATGAGTTAAGAGATGTGAGCTCTTTATAAATCTGGTAAGTTCCACTCTGTGGTTTTGGTTTACTGCTTTGCAAAATAAAAATAATGACTGATTTTTTTTCCTATCTCATGTAGGGATCCAGACACTTCCCCTGCCCAATCAGACAAATAAAAGATGATTATTTTAATTGATTACACCTCATCCTCTCTGAGACAAAATTCACCAAAAGAAATATTATCTTTACTGACATAGGAATACAAGTAAGCCAATAGGAAAATTAACCCATATTACATTTTTACTACATATACATCTGGGATTCACTTCTCTAATACAATTATTTTTAAATTACACTCAGAAAAAATAATAGAGCAAAATGAAATCCATTTTGGTGGACCATTATCTTTTTCAGATAAAACAATACCTGTACCATCTTAGGCAGATGACTGTCTGTCCAAGATAAAACCAACAAACAAAATAACTAAGTAGTTAATTAAGTTATAAACAAAACCAAGAAAAACAAAATCTAGGAAAAATATTTTACAAGCCCCTATATTGAAAATAACCTTTAAAAGATTTGCTATACAATAAGCAGTACTCAACAGAAAAGGGTATAGTGGTGTTAACAATAAGATATCAGGCCCCAAATGGATTTGCTTATGCTAAGCCCCACATTACCAATCCAAGACCTAATTTAATTATGGTTTTGGCTCTCCCAGAAATGGAATCTTAAACCAGCCCATCAGGAATCAGCTGATCAGCACTAGTTAGGTCCCCTACCTGACAGATTCCAGCCATCCCCTGCCTACAGGAAAGTGACCTTGCAATAAACAACCTGCTTTTTTGTCTAGTATAAATTCCTTGTTCCCATTCGCTTCTGCATATAAAAGTCTTTCATTTTTACCGCCCCTCAGAGGTCCTTTCTATTAGGTTGGATGCTGCCTGATTCATGAATCATTGAATAAAGCCTATAAGATCTTCAAAATTTACTCAGTTGAATTTTGTTGCTTTTAAAAACAAGTTTCTTTATTGTCCTTTTCCCATGAAAAAATAAATATATTCTATTCTATACCTTAGCACTAACACCGCCTTTTCTGAAGAAAGGTCAATTCAGCAGTTCTTGAATATCTATGATGTATTAAAATTTACATCAAAGTCCACGTTGAACCTTCTAGTTAAAATTGTATTATGTAAGGAAGTAATCTCTCTTTGCTCATCTCCCTGCCTCTAGATTTAATGAAAGTAGAATCACCACGGAACAGCAGCAGGTGCCTTTAGCTTCCTTGGTGATTGACTCTATCTCCTTCAAATGTTTTTCTAGGGCAGCATCTGCAAGCAAAATCAATTGCACATTTCCGGCAGGCTGTTTTTTTCTCCTCTCAAAAATTCACTGTGCATCTTAATATATTGAAAAAAGTGTGTGTGTTTTTATAGCATCTTATTGGTTTCAGGTTCCAAGGTATTTAGTCAGATAATATGCTCACTTGCTTACATTTGTCTACGTGCTTCCCCCCTCCCTTTTCCAGAACATTTTTTTTAGCATTTATTCTATGTTGATCTAAAGATTTAAAGCCATTATATATGCACCGTTCATGAAATTTGAATTAATTTACATGGAAAACCCTTTTCTAATCCTCTCAATTGTAAATGTTGAATGATCATATTCTTTAAATGGGAAAATCCATGCTAGAACAGATATTAGTATAGAACACTATAAAGGCAGAAAAAACAAATGTGAGTGTTTATCTTAAACACACAGTTAAAAAGTAATTTCTACTGTTACCTTTCAGGTATAGAACACAATCAGTTTTCTTCCGTAGGAAAATAGTCCAAGAACTATTAATTTCAAGAAATGCCTCAAAAATATAATTTTTCTCACAGGACATAGTCATACTTCAAGAATTTAAAAATCACATTTAAACCATTACTTTCTCACAAGTCTTTATATATTATCTCTTGCTCCAGCCTTTGCCTAAAGCAGTACATTTAGAAAAGACATTTACTTAAAAATTTTTAGAAAGAGAGAAACACAAATAAAATTATCAGATACCATCTTCTTAGGTATCCTGACAATTTTTAAAAAGATGACTGATAAAGGCTGTGCTAAAAAAAATATCACTGAATCTTATTACATTATATAGGTATAATCTAATAAATCCCACAGAAGTTGTTCATAAAGAGAAAGTTTAAAGAATTTACATATAGTATGTCTTTTTCCTGTCTACATCTTGAACAAATGAGCAGGTAGACACGGTGGAAAGCTGTTAAAGAAGAAGATATAACATTTTTACAATTTTTTGAGATACTTTTAGGCTTACAGAATTGTAAGGGTGGTACAGAGACTTCCTGTACAACTTTCCCCTGGCTTCATACATACCATTGGTACAATACCAATAACTAAACCAGACATATTATTTAGAGTTCCCACTAATGTCTGTTTTCTGTTCAGGATTCAGTCCATAATCCCACATTTCATTTAGTTGTCATGTCTTCTTTGTTTCCTCTAACCTGTCACAGTTCTTCGGTATTTGTTTATAACTCATGAAATTTGCAATTTTGAAAAGTACTTGTCAGGTATTTTGTGATTGTCCTTCAACTTGGATTTTCCTAATAGCTTTTCATTAATAGACTGAGCTTATGGATTTTGGGGAATGCCAGAGAGGTGATGTGCTCATCTTATTACATTACTAGAGGCCCGGTGCACAAATTTGTGCACAGGTGGGGTCCCTTTGGGTGGTCTGCAGGGATTAGGCTCCAGCTCGTGCCCCCAGCCTCACAGCCCCACACCCCAGCCTGGCACCCCGCCGTGGCCTGGTGCTGCCCCCTCACCTGCTCCACCATCCCACCTGCAGGGCAATCGGTGGGGGCTGGGACCCCACCTGGCTCCCTCAGTGCCTGGGAGCCCGGCAGCGGCCGGCCCTTTCCCCGCTGCCACTGCTAGTCGTGTCTGCGGGATGATTGGGCCCCGCTTGCAACTGCTTTGGCCTGGCACTGCCCGCTCACCTGCTCCATCACCCCACTCTTGTCAGGGCTCATCTGGGCCGGCAGCACCTCCACTGCCACCCGCTGCCAGCGCTATGTCGCTAACGCCACCCATGTTCCATGTTGCCTCCTGGTGGTTAGTGCACATCATAGCGAGCGGTCAAACTCCTGGTCGAACAGTTTGCATATTAGGCTTTTATTATGTAGGATAACAGAGGATAGTGATATCTTATTATTAGTGACCATCAGAGTAATTTCATAATGGTGATTTTCTATATTAATTAATTGGAATTTCTCTGTAAGTATAAGTTGTTTCTTCTCTATCATTTATTGATTTATGCAAACATTTATTTTTATCACAGATGGTTATTTTATTCCTTGGTTAATAATTCAATACTATCATAATTTTGTGACACTAGTTGTCCAACGGTGGACATTGGGATTCTTTCAAGTTGGCCCTTTTATTCTTTGATCATGTTCCTCTCTTATTTTATTTTATTTTGTCTTTACTTTCTGGCATATCAAGATGATCCAGATTCATTCTCATTCATAAAGACACTGAGGACAGAGAACCCAGTGTTTGTTGCTATGAAGGACTATAGAAGCATGTCCACATAGTTTACGTGGCTTAGGATAAGTGCTGGCTTGACATGCTCCAACTATACTCACCCACTCTCTTGGTTCCACTCTCTGGAGATATCAAAATATAGCCCTGGAATAAATTTTCTTGACTTTAAGTGGGAGTGTCAGTCTTTTGCAACACTCAAGGAACCGTTGCATGGATGTTTAAGATAACAAAGGACTACTTCCCCCAAGGTTACTCTTCTACTTTTACAGCAGGTAGCATTTGTTATAATTCATAAGCTTGCTTCACCACAGGGCCACCTACAGCATTGTTCTTGCTCAGATGTATAAAGACATATTAGTATGAACATACAGTGATGATGATAAATACAGAGGGGAATGTTTCTTGCTGCAGGATATGTTCTTGAAATTCTCCAGATGGACAAACTTTCTTCCTTTAAATGCAAGCAGGGGCCTCATTTCATTAATTCTTTTGCAACAAGACCTAACTCAAAGTCCTTGGGTTTTGCCTTCTACTATCAACTGTTACAATGAATTATGAATAATCAGATCCAAATAGCTATATGGAAAAGTTATCACCTGTGCTCAAAATGACTCCACATATATTCTTCACTACAGAGATCAGTGACCTGCCCAGTGCTGAAGCTTTGGCATCTGGTTCTTGGAGCTTTTTAGAAATTGTGATTAATCTTGCTCCCACAGAATAGCAACCCTGAAAGGTGCATTCTGCTAGTGTCTATGAGATTAACCTTGTAGCAATGCAAAATTTACATTGTAATTGTGGTCCAGCATAAAACTATCTATTCTCTTTGAAATATTGTAGTCTACTCTTCTAATACTTTCATTAATTTTTGGACATTGCTATTTGATGAAAATGAAAAAAAAAGTATAATAGGGAGAAAAAGACAGAAACATAAAAAATAAAAATCACATTTATTTAAACAAAAAATACACACAGTGTACAATGAATATGGTTTCCACAGAACAATAAAACAAAATAATACTTCTCCAAATGCAAATATAAAATAATCTAACCTATTTTTGCTTCATTTCCTAGCAATACACATTGTTGGTTCATCTAGAATATATACTTAACATAAGAAAACACATGCCAACTTTTCACATAAGTACCACAAGAATCTGAAAATTAGATGTTAGATTAAATAAAATAATGAAATATTCACATGAGAAGTATATGTGTGCAAAGGATTGAACGTGTGCAGTGACATGGATGTCTTACATAATTATAGACACATGGGGTGTGCCTTTTAAAAGTTTGAAAGTTCTTTGACATGAAATGTTTTTAAAAATTGAAAGTGATATAAAAGCATCACAGAACTATATAGATAATATAGCAATCTTGCCAATAGTTGGGTCAATATTGCTTGCTACTTAATAGTACTGCACTGAGTCATCATTAAAGATAGACTGTTGGATTGGGTCCTTTGGAATAATTTAGATGGTTTTAAGAAAATTGTGAATGTATTCATACTATGAGTGTGAAAATGCAACATCTTAAATAAGTCTGTTTACTTACATAAATACGGTTTATCAGGCAACATCACTTGAATTAGGTCTTCTCTCCCTTAATATTCATTCTCTCTGGATACTCTAATTGTGAGTCTTATTTTCTGTTTTTAATTTAAAATTCTAAATATTCATGTAATCTATAAAAGTTCAAGCTCAGGAGAACTTATTGCATGTATTTTTGGGGGATTATTATTACCTTACAATGTTTTCCTACTTCCTTGTTATAGTAGCCAGATATGATTTGGTTCTTTGACATCAGAAATGCTTTAGGCTTTCTCTTACTTGGCTAGAAATAAAATCCAAAGTTCCATATCTTAACTCTGTACCTAATTGGCTTGCAAAATCTAAAACATTAATTTTATTTTCCTGTTCTGAAAGACAGTTTTTGCTAAAGGGAGTATCTGCTTGGAAAGTTCTGACTTAAAACCGCCAAAAAGAAAAAAGTTATATGTTGGAACTTTCTTTATATAGCAATGAAACATAAATATGGGGGGGGGGGAGCATAGACTTTGAAGATTATGGGCGGATAAATGAACGTGAATTCACACTAAAATATTCAATCAGTGACACCATTCTGAGCAAATCATTCTCTTCAGTAATGCATAATTTGTAAAGCCTCCAGCTCTTAAGGACAACTTGAGTTCAATAAGTTTGCTTCCCTTGGTAATTGCTGATTAAAGCTTGTATCAGATCAGTTTCTTAAATCTGTGATATAAGTTAATAGATTTCCTACAAGATTACACAGGGCGCCCTGAATATGAAACTTAACAACTGATACATCATCTATTTGGAAATCAAACACCTAAATCATCTGTGGTGACTTAGCATCATGCCAGAGTTAAATCAACAGTTTGGGTTTCAGTTGAGCTGTATTTATTAGAATCTGGGCACAGAAATGTGCCACTATTTTTCCTGCTTTTCGCAAATGCTACAATTATAAACTTAAAAATTGGTGCTGAAGCACATTTTCACTGATCCTCTAATTAGGCTAACATTTCCCTGAATTTAGCCTGGAGTTCTTATTGCTCACACTGAGGCTGCATCGCCAAGATTTCCCTTGCCAAACACCATAGAGAGATATATTTTATACACATCTCCCTGATGAAACAATTTAATTATGAATAAAATATAAATATCAAATGTTACTGAGACCCTAATCAGAATCTTCAGAGGTTAAAAACTAAAACAAAATTGCAGCCATCTGAAGATGAATGACTGCATCTAATATCATTTTAATAATGTTATCCTGTTTCCAATTATTCATTTTCCAGAGAAAAAGTGATGGTGGCATTCAATTGTGTGCCAGTAAATACTTAACAATGGGATTTCCAGGAATCAAAGGCCATGATTTGTAGCATTTGGATATTTCTTTGGGGTAAATACTCCCACTATGGTCGATTTCAAGCTACCGATGTGATGTTACTGAACATGGAGCCAGGAGGAGGTGCACAGGAGATCTCTATAATACTGTGTAGCATTTCAACTGCAGGTACAATTGACATATCCTCAAGAGTAGAGATAAATTGAAAACTGTAGTAAAATAATTAGGAAGTGGTAGTTTTGACTATTACCTTTGTTTATAATAACATTTATTCCATTTTGTTTTATAATTTAATATTTAATGATGGTTGTTTTTAACAACTAACATAAAATTCCTGAAAATATAATGATCCACTGTCATGAGTTTGCGCGAGCCAGTTCCAGCACAACCACTGGGACAGCCTCTTCTGGGCACATATCAAACTCTACATGGGGAGGGGTTTGGCTTGCTGGGGAAGAAAATCATCAGTCTAGACAAATTGTTTTCTTTTCCATCTTGAGTCTTATTTTATGCAAAATGCCCTTTTCATTGAGGGAAAGAAAGGAAGTATCCTCCATGCAGATGCTAGCTTTTCAAGACCGCTCAGTTACTCTGATAAGTAAGCACGGGCAGTTAGGTACGTGGCATAGTGCCGTAACTGGGCGTTTGGTCATTTCAGTATAATCTGTCAGCTGCATCAAAGGAGCAAGCGTTCTGACTCACCAGATAACCAGACTGACCAAAATATTTACATCAAAGGATTTGGCAGACTCTTGAAACACTCATGGCAATATTTACAAGAAGCAAAGAACCACATGAGAAACACATGAATGGGTTCCCCTAAGGGTGGGGCTGCTTCAAAACATTATTTCAAACTTTTATGATCAACTGCTCAGTGGAACACTTCTGGGCCCTGGAACTTTTGTCACTGGATCAAACATAATCAGGATGTGACCGTCCCTTGTTTTTAACGATGCTTTCTGTAGGACTCTGTCAATAGTGAATATGGAATTGATATCTAAATTTGATTATATTAGAGGGGAAATATTTCTGAACAAAAACTTATCTTGTTTGAAAATTTCATTTTCTTGGTTCATTTTCTGGCTTGACATGATTTCCTAAAATCAGCCTGCTAGTGCATGTATCTTTAAGTGAAAATGTAGATAGAAAAGAATGACTGAGGCTGTGTCTGTACAAAGGAGATTTTAAAACTTTCTATTTAACCTTGGCTCTTTGATTTAGAAAATCTTAATAATTTAAGAAATAATGAAGTGGTTTTCCAAGGATACTTGGAATATATCTTAGAAAAGGGGCAACACTGTTGTTGTTATGAAACATGAATTTCCTTGATGAAATCCATGTTTAAAAGTATGTACAAATATTTGCTTACTGTAGGCAACTTCAGATGAATATGATCATTATAAACAAAAACTCATCTGCATTTGTAGTACAGTAACTTCTACCTTTTGAAGCATCTATATCATTTCATATTATAAAAGAAGAAAATACTTGAAATGTCTCCCCCTCCAAAAAACAACAACAACTATTATTGGCTTTCTAGTTACATATGTTTTCCACACTTGAGTTAAGAGTTTTCATTTTTACAAATGCAAATAAAAATTCTTGTTATAAGAGTATTTATAGGATGATAAGTCAGTCTCTGAGACTACCACTTGCTTTACTGAAGGAGGACTCAAGGAATCCTCTCTCTTCTAACCCTTTTTACCTTAAATCCAATGGGACAATGAAAACCACAAATTCTACCATTTTTAAATGAAATTTGAAACAAGTCAAAGATTTTGAACAAGTCAAAGATTATATGTAATTCCTGAAATGGAGAGTGAGGTATAAAAAAATAACACTAAGATAAACTTATCCATGAATGGATCCACAACACACAGCCTCTTTTATTAAAAAGGCTGTAAGTAGTTTGGCAACCACCTCATATATAACACCCAGAGCCATTAGTTAAAATAGTAGATTGATAATTCTAGTATTAAAAAGCCCCAAACAATTATGTAAAAAATTTTATTAATTTGAAAAACCTATGAACCTAGAGATCTGTTTGGAATCCTTATTTCAATTAGTGTCTTAGTCAAGGAGCTATCACATTAGCTATGGAAACCCCCACAATATCATCCACTGAATGTGGTCTTAGCTAAGAGATATCTATGTAACAAGCCTGTGGAATTTCTGAAGGTGATTTATGCTATCAATGTCATGCTCCTCTGATGAGAAAGGAAAAGTAATAAATTCTTAAAATTTAGAGAAAACAGGTTTCATTTATTCAGTGTTATAATCTAAGTTTTAATTCCAGTAATAGATGTCAATTTCTATTTAACTAACTAGAACTGACCTATAATTTTCATGGAGATTTGGCATGGCAATTTGGAGAAGAGATAAGCCATAGGGAAGGACGGTAGGAAAAGATTGTACTCATGGTTCTAAAATTATCTAGCTGGGTAATTGGGGGTATAACTTTCCTGTGCTTTCACTTACTCATTTATGAAGGTGTTACACAAAATGATCTCTAAGGCAGATTCTAATTTAAAATTTTAGACAATTTATGGTGTTATTTTACTGAGTTAAGGACAAATTTGAAATTCAGGTTAACAGAAATAATTGCTTTGGTTTATCATTAGTTATGGTTGCATACATGTTAGAAGGTTTATTCACATATACTATTCTATGTCAGGTAATGCATACTGACACCATCTATATTCTGCACCAAGATGACTGCTGGAAAACATCTCAGAGACATTTTCTTGAGTGTCATGAACTTGACCACATAAAGTTCAGGCCAATGGGGATTTTCACTTAGGACATCAACAGGCTGACCGTCTTTAGTTTCCTTGCAGTTTCTGTTCCTCGTGGTATTTTGCCCATTATCCAATTCAACTTTCTCTCCTGCTACTTTTACAACAGGGCCATATATCCCATGCCAGAGCTTTGAAAAGACACCATGTTTTTGGAAAGTATTTTCACTGCTTTACTAACACTGTCCATCCACCTGTTTGAGGAATAGTCACATCTTGACTGGGTGACAAAGTACAGGCATACCTGTAAATTGTGCTGTAACCAGGATCATGAGTTAACTCTACCTAATTTTAAATCACTAGAAAAATATGTTTTAAACCTCCAAAATGGGCTCTAAGAGTATGTGTGAGAAAATCTGGGACATTTCACAAAGTCCCTCTCCCTGTCACACTCTCCTAGCTTCATTGTGGAGGGACAGCACTGCTCTCTGAGTCACTGCTAGTCCCCCATGGCACCTGTTACTCAGAATGTCTTTCATTAAATACCCCATGAATGAAAGTTACACATTCTGAGCTGATCTCAATCAGCAAGAGTCAACACATAGAAACTTAGAACTGGAAAGGACAATATTATGTAAGATTTTAAAAAAATGAATCTTTCAGAGTAATATGCTGATAACCGTAATTCAAGTAATTCCTAGATTTGGGCAAACATCCCTGATGATCGCCCTCCACAAATTCATGACAATAAAAGAAAAACGAAAAAGTAGAGAGTATCCAACTGAAGCGTATTTGTGTTCCTGTTTATTTACATGTTGGAAAACTTAGGTGTCAGCTTTTCCATAAGTCCCCTCTGGAGGTCTGTAGTACTTGGGGAAAGCCATCAGCTGTAGCATGTTGAAAGCATACTTTCTGCATTTGATATTCTTCAGTACATTCTCTATGCGGCATCCTTCTCTGGTAAAAGGGGAAAAAGTACAACTTCATGAAACAGAATAAATAAATATGCTTTATTTGTTCAATGCAGAGTTGCAGCAACAGTCCGAGTAAAAATAACAAAGATTCAACTCTACATTTGTTTTCTGTTTGTTTTTCACAAATGATGATACATCTTACAAAATTAAATCCTAGGCCAGGCCCAATACCATTATTGCCCTCGGAAAAGAGATGATTAAAGTCTCTTTGCTCTTAACAGGTATTTAAGGTTTAATAAACTCTTTAAATATAATTTGCTCCACAATACAGCTTCACTTTAATCTCATAAATATATCTGCCTTTTTAATAACTCTTCCACAAATTAATTTCTTTAAAACACATTAAAATCTATATGTAGCCCTAAGGATACAGGTTCTAGGAATAAGGCATTTAATTGATTAAGTCTGGCCCTATAGATTTTTAAAGGAAAGTTCAATCTCTATTTTACTTCATTATTTTAACTGTGCAACGACGAGAAAAAATGGCTTCTGGAACAGCCTGGTCCAAGTCTCCACTTTATAGAGGAGAAGTGACAGTACAAAGTCACAGGTGCGGAAACGGGGCATCAAGACACAGACAAGACCTCGGTAAAAAGAATAGAAAAGTACTGTCCAAGCCACATCAACCCAAAGCATAGTTACAAACAGGTTAATTTAATTACAAAACAGAAATAGCCATTTTCTTCATAGAGTTACTTGACAGAAGGGGGTTAATTGCAGCAAAGAAATGACAAAACAAACAGGTTAAGAAATCAAACAGAAGGTTCTGCCAGCTGATGGCAACGATTTTAGCACAGTGGAAATCAAGTCCGGAACCTCCCACATGTCTAGGACTTGTCTCAGAGTTTCAGTGTGTTGTGCAAATGCAGTCTTAATTTCTTTGATAAATTTAACGGGAAGAGGAACAGGAGGTGTAGACCTTCAAGCTTTCAGGATTCTGTTCTGTGTCTTATTCCAAAGACAGTAATTTTAAAATTCTTCTTGAGCTAGTGAACAGGGGGAAACACTTCTCCATGAACAAAAGAGCAAAACAATTCACTTAATGCATAGTACTTCTTTAGATTTTAGGGAAAAAAAAAAACAAAGAAAACACAATTCAAACATCTGTTTTAAATTCTCTGGATCTTAAAATGTAGAAATATTACAGCATTGTCCCCATAATTTAGAGTCCATTATCATTTGTAGAAAAGAAAGGAATACAACAGTAAAACTTATTGGTATTTGGCTAATAGTAATGCAAGACTTAAAATAAGCCACACGACTAGCAGGTGTGAGCTGACAAGCAGCAAGGCGACAGGATAGAAGTGTCGAGAAGTTGGCTTGTTATCAGATAGACAGCCTGTTTCAGGATCATCGGATTCATTCAGGACTCCCTGGGTTTGTCTGCTGTTAAAAAGGGTGGGGGTGTAGGGGGAGGAAAGAAAATAGAAGAGCATTCACACAGTAAAGAAACTCAACCTTAAACATCCTGAAGTAGAGCACATTATCTTATACAATAAAGCTGCTTCAGATGGAAGTTTTATGCTAAATAGCCCTAAATACACCCTGTGTATTTTTTTCTCACTGACAAATGTATTTCTCATTGACAAATGTTGTTACAAAAGGAGATTCCTTTTTCTTTTGGTGCAAGAGAGAAGGGAGAGACACTCGGATGATATTTCACATGGTTTGAATCTGAATGTGCAAGGAAGAAACAAATAAGTATAATAGCAGCAATAAACAAAACTCCATGAATAAAACTAAAACGTGGATCAGCCCATAAAAATAATCGGATAAATACATCTTTGGCAAATGAAAGAGAAACGGTATGTAGTGAAGCAAAAGAATGTGTCTGACACATTTAGGCTCACTCTCTACTGGTCTCGTTACCTGTATAATGTATTTATCATTATAAAAATGATTTATAGAAATGGGTTGGTATTTAAAATGAAAGAAATATCTGACATGTTATCCTCGGCAGCCATAAGATTAGTATAACAAAACCTGACTCAGCGTTCTTCTTACTCCTTCAGCTCGTAAATTACATTGTCTCCTGCTCATCTTACTTAAATATCTATCTCCTATAGACTCCGGAGCTTAAAAGAGATCCATCTTTGCAGAGTGACACCTTAAACAATTAAAGATTCTACATTTCCAGGTTGTGTATTTTCTGTGTAAGTAACGATGGGCACTTATAATTGGCTTAAAAGCAGCTACAATTATGGCAAATAAAAAATATGCCATACTGTCCTAGCCAGTGTAATGCAGTGGTTGGAGCATAAGCATGGGCACCAAAGGGTTGTGAGTTTGATTCCCGGTCAAGGGTGTGTACCTGGGTTACAGATTCAATTCCCATCCCTGACCCTGGCCCCTGTCCGCTTCCTTCCCTTCCACTCTCTCTCTAAAAAAAAATGCCATATTGATATATGTTGAAAATTACAATTCTTCTCTATGGTGTATTTCATCAGTACTCAGAGTCTTCAGAATTTCAATCATGCTCAGTTGTCAAGGCGCGGTTTGATCTCCATCAGCTCCTCCATGTTTGGAGGCAGAAAATGGGTGGTGGGTCAGTCTTATGGAAAGTGCACCCAAAGCTAAGTTCTCAACAAGCTGCCAGTGCTCCCTTTCAACCAGGTGCAGCCCCTGCAAACCCCCTACACAGACATTTCTGAGCAGGTGTCGACCACTTTAATGACCACACTTGGATAAACAGTCAGTGTGATCATTTTCAAACCGTAGTTTAACACACCAAGTCAATCACCCAGTGTGTGTTCTAGTGTTTCCCATTGTTTGGTAAGATTTAAGGACCCTGAAGCTAGTGACCAGGTAAAATGGAAGCTTATCTGGAAGACAAATGATTTATGGAGCAAAAGGGAGGGTTATTTTGGACTTGCATAATTTCTATTATTAATGGTTCAAAGCACTTGGTTACTTGTTGAACTTTCCGCTCCTCATTAGGTAGGAAACCTGCAGTAGATTTTAAGGTATGTTTACCTTCGAATGTGACTTAGAAAAGCTTCCTTGTCCGATACTATTTTTTCTGTGGGCTTGCCCAGGGGCTTGGAATCCCTACATTGTTCATCCCAGAGAAATATTTCATTCATTTGTTCAGTAAATTATTACCAATGTGTATCTCATTCTTTTATAACTTCTAGTTTTCATTTATCTCATAAAGAATATAATGTATTAGTAGAGTACCACACATAGCAGCGGCTATGATATCCATAGTCTATGAGACCACCTGGCTTCAAGCTTGAACCAGTCACCTGCTAGTTACATTTTTTAACTAGGGCAAATTTTTAAACATTTAATGTCTCCATTTCCTCATCTTTCAATAGTGTTAATAATAACAATACCTACTTCACAGAACTGCTATGAAGTGTTGTAAATCACACTTACACACTTCTTAGAATAGAGCCTGGCACATAGTAAGCTTTCAATAGTGCTTATAATTATTAAATAACTAGTGGCCCAGTGCACACGGGAGGAGAGTTGGAAACAAGTGGTCTAATTCATATTTGAACAATTCTGGGAACTAGAAAAAAACACTTTTCAAGAAGTCTATTCCATACACTGAGACTTATGGAGGGTGTTGGGTCATAAAACATGCGTTGGCCATTGGGGAAGATGGGATAAAGGGCCAAGGGAGGCTGGATAGGTGACTTTTGGGTCCCCTTGCACATTTCCAGATGCACAGAGTAAACAGAAAGGCTCTGAAGTAATGCTTGCTCTTTTTCTACCCTCAGTTCCGGCACATACAGCTACAAAACTTGAGCAAATACTTAATCTTTCCCCATAAATTTCTCGTTATGCACAGGAACAATGAGATTGTTAAAAGAATTAAGTAGGGTGATACATTCAAAAACCTTAGCACTGGAGACTATTATGCAAATTGAAATAAGCCAGTCAGAGAAAGACAGGTATCACATAATCTCACTTATATGTGGAATCTAATGAACAAAATAAACTGACGAACAAAATAGATCCAGAAACATAAAGCATGGAGCAGAATAACAAATCTCAGAGGGAAGGGAGGGAGTGGGAGGAGATTAAACATAGAACATATGCATAACCCATGGCCCAGACAACAGTGTGGTGAAGCCTGCGGGGGAGGGTTGGGAGCTAGGTGGAGGGGGTCAATGGGGTGAAAAAGAGAAACATCAATAATGCTTTCAACAATAAAGATAAACTTTAAAAAAGCACAGTACAAGGTATAAAACAAGGCCTGGATGAATATTAGTTATTGTCATTACTGTTATCACCAATATCATCCTCACTCACACTCCCTCCTGTCCCATTTTAAGATGAAGTTGATCTGTAGTTAATCTTAACATCCTTGTTGAAACCTTGGTTCCTCTCCAATGTTCCCTGTTAGGAGAGAAGTACTAACTCCTATTATCTATCTATCTATCTATCTATCTATCTATCTATCTATCTATCTATCACCTACCTACCTACTATTATGTATGTATGCATGTATGTATCCAATTATGTATCTATCAACTATTTGTCATGGTGCAAATGTTAGATTCTGATTACAAATGTAGGTTAAATATTAACCACAACCTATCAATATAGTACTGCAGAAATAATCTCTCTAATAATCACACGTATAGATAGGCAGAGTGGATACAAGTGGTCTTGTGGCTGTATCCTTGCTTCCTGCTAAGAATAGCACAAATGATCATTTCTTTGTGGGCACAAATGAATTTTTCTAATTTATTGAATTTATTGAGATATAGGTTTCAAGTGTACAACTCAATAAAACACCAGCTGCACACTGTATTGTGTGCCCAGTCCCCCAAGCAAAGTCTCCATTCCCATTTCCCGCCCCCTTTTGCCTAGCTCTGACCACTATCCATCCTCCTTTCTCTCTGGCTATCACCACACTGTTATTTATATATATATATTCTGGCTTAACCCTTTTACCTTTTCATTCAGCCTCCCATCTCCCCTCCTCCCTGACAATTTTGAAGCACTCTGCAAGTGCAAACTGCAAAGGAT